CTTCCTTCCTTCCTTCCTTCCTTCCTTCCTTCCTTCCTTCCTTCCTTGCCCCTACTTGCCATTGTTTTCTCCATGGAGCAAAACACTGCATTGTGTAGAGAAGCACACGCACACACACGCAAAGCTATTCTATTTGCAAATGGGCAGAACTCAGGAGCTGAAGCTAAATTTGCCCAGGAAGAGGTTTCTCTCTGTCTGAGCGGCAGTTTTCTCAGCCTGGGAACAGCTCCCCAGCCAGCCTTAAGCACCCACCATCTGTTTTCTTTTCTCCAAAGCCAAGTCGCAGCCTAAAGGTATTGATTTAGAGGCTTCGGGGAATATTAACGGCTTGCCAGTAATCGAGGTGGATTTAGAATCGTTTGAAGACAAACCGTGGAGGAAACCAGGTGGGGCCTCAAAGTTTCTTGTGGTAAATATGATCGACGGCTTTCTTTTTTTTCCCACCCCCGTAATTCGGTTTGGTTTGGCCTGGCATCACCGTCCTTGGTGAGGAGAGGTGAGGCAGGTGGACACAGCCTCCAATTTATGGGTATGGTCTCCATCCTGTGGTGTGAGGAAATCGGTTTACTTGGGGTTGGATAAATGGAGTCACCGGCGGATTTTAATCCGCTAGCAATCGCCAACTCCAGGGGCCGCCGCTCATCTCCATTTCAAGGCCATTGGGCCAAGCGCTGTCGCGAGGCATTTCCGTGGTCATGTGGCCAGCATGACCTCACAGAGCACCGTGACCTTCTCACCGAAGTGGTACCTATTTATCTCCTTGCATTTGTAGGCTAGGTTGGCAGGAGCTGGAACGTTACCCTTGAGTGATGTTCGGGTCTCGGACCTGGGCTGCCGGCTTTCCAGCCCACAAACCCAGCGTCTTCACCGCTGAGGCACCACGCCGGGATTGGAGAGCCCAGGCCAATTAGGGAAGGGCATTTTAATCATTGTAGCTCAGCCTCTGAGCTTTGCCTGCCTCTTTTCATACAGAGAATTTCTCCTGGCTTTTTCTTTTACTGCTCCTCATTTGGAAACTGAAATGAAGAGAAAGAGGAGGGAGAGCCTCAGAGAAGAGAAATCTAAGTCAAAACCAGAAATGGAATTGGAGAGTCTTAAGACGGGATCCTCTTTAGTTCTCTCGAACATGGATGCATGGGAGAGGGGATAGGTACATTTAAAGATGTAAGATTGATGGACTTTTGAGGTAGACCTGTCAGGCTTCAAAGCAAGAATGACACACAGTAATTTTGCCAAGCTGTGTTCTTTATTATTATTATTATTGTAACATTTTTTGAAACGCACCAGTGATCAGAACATATGTGGACTTCAGCTCCTAGAATTCCACCGTCAGCATGTGTCAGGCTCAAAACCATCTTCCCAAGCTGAGATATTTATTCTTTTCACACCTATAAACCAAAATTGTTGGCAGACCGAGGACTCTACTTTCTGCATCTACAGTGTGCTCTTGGAACTATTAAGCAGGGGCTGTCTTCACCCTCTTTCTCTCACACATGGTCTCTGGGCTGAGTTGCCTCTTACTCCTCTGGAATCAATTGCCTCCCTCCTGGGAATCCCTCTCCCCACCACATTCCATCACAAGTTCAGACTTGAACATCGAGGAGATGAATGCTAAATCTGCTTTTATTATAGGATTGCCGTAACAGACTCCGGCCACTCTCAGTGCGCCTCCTTCTCCCTGCCTTTCTCCATAAACAGAACCAGGGAGGGCCCAGCATGAGACGCTTTCTCAAGTTACATTCCGGCTTGGACTCAGATTTCTCTTATCTAATTTGCATCGCTTCCTCCTCGGAAGGTTATTCTCACAATCCTCACAGAAACAGATCTTGTTGGTAGATTTTTATTTTCCAAAGGGGAAGAAGGAAATTCTAGAGAAAACATCTAATTTGGAGTGTGGGGTTTTTGCGTCTATCTAATCCAAGGAACCACAAACATAGGTGTGAATGGCGTGATTCCTGCTGCACAATCTGGGCTTCAACTCCCAGAATTCCCCCAGCCAATTAGTTTTTTCAGCTCTGTTGTCATTTCAAACAGCCGTTAAACAAATGGTTCTAAGTGGACGGCTAATTTGTAACCATGATTTGTGCACCTGCTTTGAATCCTAGCTTCAGCAATCATGATTACAAACTGCCTTGTTGCCTTGAAGATGGATGCCATTCAGATACTCACCAGTTTTCTTCGGGATTATTGCCATTTGCATACGTGTCTGTGTGTCTTCATTAAATATGTTTCACCATAAATGTTCCCAGTTTTCAGGACTTTGAGAATGTTTAAAAGATGAAACGCTTGCTTTCACCCCTATGAGCGGAAAGGACCCTTTTCATCTCACGGTCACCAACCTAAACAAAAAAAAATGGTGCCAAAATAATGGTCCCGCCCACTCTGGATGTCCTCCGCTTTGTGGGCCACAAAAATGGGTTGGGCTTTCACGTGGCCTGTAGACCACGACTCATGAAGGCTGCCAGGTGATCTTCAGCCTCCACAGGACCTGATGACTAAGGTGTCTGGTGGTAACAGATGATGGAAATTATCCTTCAGCAAGAATGTTAAAAATTTCCACTCCTGGGAAAAAAAGAAAACCTTGCAATTGTGCTTAACTGTAGCCACAGCTGGCCCCAGTATTGGTGAAATATGACAGCAGAGATAATTTGCAATAATGAAAAAGGGCATTAAAATTCCCCATGAGTCATCAAAAGACAGAGAGAATGTACCTATGTGGGAGAATGAGGTGGAGACTTGAAGGATATGGTTGTTGATTATTCTCCAGATCATCTTTTATGATTCACTTTAACTAAGGTGGGAGTCGGCAACCTGTGGCTCCAGAGCCGCATGCGGCTCTTTGGGCCCTCTCCTGCAGCTCCGTATAGGCCACCACTGGCTGGCCCCGCCCCTCCACTTGCAGTCTGAGAAGGTAAGGGCGACAGCGGTGGATGGTGAGTTGCTCCATATTCCAGGGTGGCAGTGATGCGCTCCTCTACCTGCCTCTACTTCTGGCTCTGCTTGGTGCTGCGTGCACCTCAGCTGCTCGGGGAGATGTGCAACTTTCTCCGCCCTCAGACACTGGCCCAGCTGATGCTCTGCGTTGTAATGGGCTCCAGGAGGAGGAGAGGACACCGTCTCCCCCATTGTGAAGTGCGCTAAATTTAAGCGTGGTGTGCAAGGTGCTGCAAGAGCAGCGAGCAGGCCAGGGAGGCAGCGAGAGAAGCGACGTCCGTGTCTTGGGGCAGAGAGAAAGATGTGCATCTCCCCATATTCCTCTCACCACCTCCATGGCCTGCTCGCTGTCACACACAAACACATGCAAGAGAGATGAGAGAGAGGGAGAGAAAGAGACTCTGTCTCTGAAAGAGAGATGAGAAAGGGAGAAATAGAGACAGAGAGAGAGCGGGAGAAAAGGAGAGGAGAGAGAAGAGAGATACCTGTTTCCAGAGAAAACACCGGGAGCCACAAAACCTGGGTAGGTGTGGCGGGGTGTGTGTGTCGAGTTGGTCCCGCCCACCCAGGTTTTGTGGCTCCCTGTGTTTTCTCTGGGAAAGGGGTCTAAATGGCTCTTTCTGTGTTTTAAGGTTGCAGACTCCTGAACTAGGGAAGTGGTCTCCAAACTTGGCAACTTTATGGACTTCAACTCCCAGAATTCCCTAGCCAGCCATGCTGGGGTGTTCTGGGAGTTGAAGTCCACAAGTGGCCAAATTCGGAGAGCCCTGAACTAAGAGGCGTAATACGTCGGCACCTCCTTGCTGTTCTCCTCCTTCCCGGTAACGTTTTTTTTCAGTGGAAGAATCCGGAAAGAAGATTCCTCTGCTGCAAAAAAGAAGTTGCTCCGAGCCATTTTTTCACTACAGTGCCCCCCCGTCCCCCGTCCCCAATTTCTTTCTGCTGGAAGAGTTGGCTTTCCCCGGAGAGCCCTTTCCGCCAACGCATTTCCATTTCTTCCCAGGTGCCGACCTTTCCGATTATTTCAACTATGGATTCAACGAGGAAACCTGGAAAGCTTATTGTGAGAAGCAGCGCCGGCTTCAGCTGGGCCTGGAGCCTCCGGTCTCCACCTCCACTGAAAACAAGATCACGGTAAAACGCGGAGCTTGGAAGCGGGTTTGGTTCCTTTGGTTCCACCGCTTGACAAGGGGTTTGTCAACCTGCCTGGGCTTGGAACGGTTGGGGGACGTAATCCAAAAGCGGTATTAATGCAGTAGGTAATCCTCGACTTACAACGGTTCATGGCCGTTCCAAGTTGCAACGTCACTGGGAAAAAAGTGACTTAGGACCATTTTTCACATTTAACGACCCTTTCAGCATCCCCATGGCCAAAATTGGAATGCTTGGATACTGACTTGTATTTATGACGGTTCCTGTGTCCTGAGGTCATGCGATGAACTTCTGCAACCTTCTTATAAGCGAAGTCAATGAGGAAGCCCGGTCTGCTTAACAACCGTGTTACTAACTTAACAACTGCAGTGATTAATTTAACAACTGAGGCAAGAAAGATCGTAAAACAGGACAAAATTCAATTAACAAATGTTTCCTCTAGCAACAGAAATGGGCTCAATTATGGTCGTAAGTCAAGGATTACCTGTACAAGAACGTCGATTTTAAAGGCAATGAAGATGAAAAGCAAGTCAGTTTCTGAACTCAACGTTTTGACCCTTTGGAGGGAGACAAAAGGCAATCCGTTGCTTCTAGACCGTGGACCAAACCACAGCCAGATTTAAGATGCCTGGACTTCAAATTCCCAGAATTCCCCTGTCAACTTCCGGGAGTAGAAATCCACCCATCTCAAAGCATGCTGGCTGGGGAACTCTGGGAATTGAAGTCCACCCCTCTTAAAGCTGCTAAGATGAGAAAGCACTAAACTTTTGCTTCCTGTATTAAGATGTACAATTAGGGTTAGGGCCTCTCCTCTCTTCCCACAATAGAAGAACGGACAGAAAAATGGATGGGTTCACCGAGCGAGCAAAATTAATCGTTTCAGTCAGAGAAGAGAATAGATCCAGTTTTGTTTCTGCTTGAATATCTACCTGAGCTTTGTGTTTGAGATAGAAAAGCGTGAAATCTTAACTATGGAATTTGCCAATTAGATGAGTCGTCCTTATAGAAATGGCTAGTATCTAGTAAGGGTGTGAAAATAAAAAATATCGTATTCTACTGTGCTGAAAAAAGTTGGAAGTTAGCGCTTTTCTTTTCCAATTCCCCCTTATCCTACTACAGTTTCCCTTCCCCTTCCTTTCCCTTTCCCATTTCCCTACCTTCTTCATTTTCATTTGTATCTTGTACTATGTTAATTTCAATTACAAATAACGAAAAACAGACTGTACAATTTTGAAAACTCTTGTGCTTTTTGAAGAACTCTTGACAAACGGGGGTATAAAAATAGTCGAAGGCTTTTCAGTCCAATAAAAATAGCTGCTGTGAACACAGAAAGCTCAGGAGTTCCAGATTAAAAATTCGGTCCATCTGCGTCCCTTCTGCAATGGAACCTAACCCCTCTCCACCTTATAAGGTGCTTTACCAAGGTAGTCCTCCACTTACGGCCACAATTGAGAGGAGATTTTCCATTGTTGTTAAGTGAGTCACATCCAACTTTATGACCTTTTACCATGGTTGTTAAGCAGATGATATTGTTGTCAATAACACTGTTGTTAAGTGAATCTGGCCCTCCCCCCCGCCTTGGCTTATAGGAAACTACCTGGGAAAGTCACAGGTGGCAGTCAGACGATCTTGGGACGCCACAACCATCATATACACACAGATGTCCTCCTTCACTAAGCGACTCTTCAAAGTTACAACGGCAGTGAAAAAAGTGACTTATGACTGTTTTTCACACTTACTGTTAGGATTCCGGCACTTAACCCCAATTTAAATCATGAGTCTCAAGCCAAACTTCCAAAATTTCAAAAGGATTTATTGGGAGTCAAACATATCTGGCACTGTCTGGGTGTAGCTGACTCTGAGATGCATCATTCATTGTCACCCTTGACCCTGGTTTTCCCCCACCCCCTGGGGGATATTCTCCAATGGGACACCTCCATAGCCCAGAGTCATCAGTCATGCTCTCCAGTTTGAATTTTGCATGGCAGAAACTTCGGTCACCTAGTTACAATCTTTGAAAACATTTATGGAATGCAAGCTGCCCACTGCTCCCCCCCCACCCATTTCCTCTTGGCAATTCTAAAAAGACCACAGAAATATTTTATGAGTTGACATTCCCGACCGTTATAGCCTCTTGATGGTCGCCTGATTAAAACTCAACCGCTTGGGAACCTGACTCATATTTATGACGGTTCCAGTGTCCCGGGATCACATGATCCCCTTTTGTGACTTTCCGACAAGCGAATTCAATGGGGAAGCCAGATTTGCATAACAACTGTGTTATTCACTTAACAACTGCAGTGATTCTCCTGACAACTGTGGCGAGTAAAATCGTAAAATGGGGCAAACTCACTTAGCAACTGTCTCACTTAGCAACAGAAATTGTGGGCTCCGTTGTGGTCATAAACCGAGGACTACCTGTATATGCCAAATTTTTGTTCTCCTGACTGTGGGGAGGCTGCAACGCTTGTAAGTGTGAGCATGCTGCTTCTCCCAAGTAGCTTTTTCAGCCCAGCTGGATCGGAAGAATCCTCTTGGATGAAGCAGCGAAATGTTTCAAACCAAAGAAAGACAGGAAGCCCAGTTACCATGACTCGACTTCCAGATGGTTGTAGGTCCCCTTTTCCAGTTCCTTTGGAATTTCAAACGGTCGCTAAACGAATGGTTGCAAGTCAAGGACCACCGGTGGCTGCAGAAAAGAATTCCGTCTCCTGGAAAAGCAGCAGGAGCGAAACGGTCCCTCTGTCCGTTTTAAAATCGACTTTAGTTAGTGAGAAAAATGATGGTTTCAATTGGAGGATGAGGAAAAATGTCTCGGATTGAAAAAGTCATGGTGGCCTTGCAATGTGGTTGTTGTTTTTTTCTAAAGGTTCAACAAGGAAGAACTGGCAACGCCGAGAAGGAACCTGAGAACAACATCATCAAGATGGATTTTAAAACTGATTTTGTTGCCCTCGTTGGCGGAAGGATAAAAGCGGGGCCTCCTCCAAACAGGTACCAAAGGGACCCCTCTGCTTTTGAGAGAGGTTTGCTTTCTCCAGGGTTTGGAGCCTTTACCTCCAAACTGACCAAGGCTTCCTAGACCGTAATTAAGCACACGCTTAGTTCAAACAACTCTCGTTTTATTTCAGCGCTGGGAATGATGTTTATTCCCAGCCCATAATGAGTCCCAAACTGTCCCTCGAGATAAGCACCCACCTTTCTCTCCTTTGAATTGCTGCCAACAACAAAAGTGCCAAACTGTAAAAAGCCAACCAAAGTACAAAGTCCACACTGAGCTTCAAGGATTAATCGAAACAAAGCGAACGACTTTGTTTCCTGCAAAGGTTTCTCTACCTTTGCACTTCCTTTATACCTTATGGGAGGGGCAATCACCTCCCAGCCTTACTCCTGAGTTGCTCCTTTTGCCCCAACTGCTCTTGCCTTCTAGCAGCTCTGCGCACACACGCACTGGGAACAGGCTCCCCTGGGTCCTCTGCCTCGCTGCTGCCAGATTCTGGAGGTTCCGGAGTCAGCACCCGACTCCCAGATGGTCCTGGCCTCATCTTTGCATCGGATGCAGGACCCTCGTCCGAGTCCTTCCCAGACTGGTCCCCGTTCTTCCCCACTGTCCGATTCCGCTGCCGTCTGCACCAGCTGCTGGTGAACCACAACACTTACTCGCAAGCAGCTTAAAGTACCCCATGAATCATCTCAGAGCCCCGAACTTCTCCAGATGAAGGAATCTTACACTTCCAGGCAAGCTAGAATTCAGGGAAGCCCAGACCCATCCCCTCCAGGGAAGATCTAGATGGTCACCCAAAGCAAGCTTGGTCAACGCTGTGGGTGGAAAGATGGCCGTGTCCTGAGATTAAGGCAGATCCCTCAGGTTTCCCCCAATCTCAAGGCTTGCCCCATTTTGGTTAGGTGATATAAATAGCAAATGCCTCAAAGCAAAGGGCTCAGCCGCCTGGCCTTTCCAATATTGTTATTTGACCAAATAGTCAAACAAATATTGTTCATTCCCTAGAGCAGGGGTCCTCAAACTTGGCAACTTTAAGACTCATGGACTTTAACTCACAGAGTTCCTCAGCCAGTTCCCTGCTAGATAAAAGTATTGTAACACTCCTGTCTCTAGCATAGCATATAATAATGTCCCCAAAAGCAAGAGGCAGGTCAGTTTTTGATGGTTTTCTGATAGTAAATTCTACTTTATGGAGCTTTATCCAGGCAGTTGGGAAGCAAATGCCCCAATGGGTGGGATTCAAACTTGTTTTACTACCAGTTCTGTGGGCGTGGCTTGGTGGGTGTGGCAGGGGAAGGATACTGTAAAATCTCCAGTCAGAAGTAGGATTGGCCGGTTCTCCAAACTACTCAAAATTTCTGCTACCGGTTCTCCAGGACTGGTCAGAACCGGCTGAATGCCACCTCTGATTAATGCCCACAACACTGCACAAAAGAAAATTGGAACTAAAATCATCATCAAATTGTGATGGTGTATTGGTGGATGGTGTGCCATATGCAGTTGTCACAAGATGGGAGTTGAGTGTGTGTTTACGGCATCCTTTACTCCAACGATGAGCTGTGTTACAGGAAGAACAATGTGATCAAGATCAGCTGCTGATGCTGAATGGGCCTTCTTTTGGAAACAGGAAACTGGGAGGGACAATCGACGTGATTGGTGGACAGGCTGGCACCATCCGGAGGGTAGAAGGAAGGCGGCGTGACAAACACGCTTCTGAAGAAAATCCCATTCAGGTAAGAACTGAAAGGTGGACCTCAAGCCTTGCACCCTCTTCACTTTCAATCCAGATTAGATGTTCCTGATTGGGGTAAGACCACACTTGGGACAGTGTATTCCATTTCTGGTCACCACAATATAAAAAAAGATGTTTAGACCCTAGAAAGTGTGCAGAAAAGAGCAGCAAGAAAAATGATAAGGCACCTGGAGGCTAAACTGTATGAGGAATGGTTGAGGAAGCTACTGTAAGTATGTCTAGAAGAGGATCAAAACGGCCTTTTGATTCATGGCGTACATTCATATTTATGCAGATAGTTGCTTTAGTCTGGCAAGATTCTGTCTGTAGGCAAATAGCAAAGTAAAGTCTTAACAAAGAGAAGGACCAGGGGTGACACAATAGCAGGCTTCCAATATTTGAGGGGCTGCCACAGAGAGGAGGGGGGGTCAGCCAATTCTCCAGAGCATCTGAAGCAGGACTGTTTGTCTGAAAAGGAATAAGGTTTCCTGCATGAGCAGGGGTTGGACTAGAGGACCTCCAAGGTCCCTTCCAGCTATGTATCTTGGTATGCAAGGTTGGATGTTCCTCCTCTCTACTCCATTTTAAAATGTTCCTCTTCCTTCAAACTACAGTATGTTGAACGTCATCTGAAGATCTGTCTCAATGTAGTACATCCCAAAATAATCTTTAAATCTACCGGCACCTTCCTTTTTGGTTTCCTCAAACTATAAATGATCATACTGGAGCCCATCATGATTGTTAAATGACTTAATAATCAGCCGTCGACACCCTAATTAACAACTAAAAGCTACCCACAACCAGGAACTATATACGGTAAATAGAAGATAGAATTACAGAAGGGACCTTGGAGGTCTTGTAGTCCAACTTCCTGCACAAGCAGTGTACCATTCCAGACAAGTGGCTGTCCAGTCTCTTCTCAGAAACTTCTGTGGTCAGAGCACCTACCAGGCAGGCTGTTCCACCGATGGTTGCTTCTCTCCCTGAATAGTTTCCATCCGTTGCTTCTGGTCCTGCCTCCTGGTGCTTTGATAAATAGCTTGACAACCGCCGCCTCTCTGGGGCAGCCCCTCAAATACTGGAACACTGCTATCATGTCTCCCTGGCCCTTCTTTCCACTAGAGTAGACATACAAAATGTGTATGTATAGTGCATGCGTTGTCGGGTGGGATTCAAAATTTTTAACAACCGGTTCTGTGGGTGTGCCCCCCCCCCCCGGCACTCCATTTTTTTTGGCCTGGGCTTCAGGGAAGCCTCCTGGGGGGTCATTTTGGCTCCCAGGAAGCTAAAAAATGGAGCGTGGGGCGGGGGAGGATAGCACACACACACACACACACACACACACCCTTTTTGCTTCCTAGGCCTCAGGGAAACCACCTGGGAGAAGCAGTAAGACAGCGAGAGGGATCCCGGCACAGCTGATCATTGAAACAGCTGATTGTCGGCAGGGAAAAAGGAGGAGGAGTGACTGGGCGGGGGAGAATACAGTGATGTTGGGCATGGGTGCAATGTTGCACATGTGCGATAAGGACTGAGTGGGAAGGGAGGGGTGGGCGGAGAGGGGCGGAGCCTGCCAGGGACACGATTTTCTGGTACTCCGAACTGCGCAGAATCATAACAACCAGCTCCATAGAACCAGTCTGAACCGGTAGAATCCCACTCCTGGGAGTTGTACTAGAACGACAACCCAGGGAACAGCCCAGTCACACAGCGAGACGTTCCCCGAGGATGGGCTCCAGCACAAGCCTGAAAGCTTGGCGGAAGAAACCTTTGGTCCCTACGGCCAACTCAGATTGGATCTTGCGCCCCTGAGGTCTTCAGTGCCGGGAAAGCTCCCGTCCTTATTTCAGTCCTGAAATGTTTCTGCTTCTTGAGGTAAAAAGAGGCAAATATTCGTAGCTCAGGGTTGAAATGAGGGGCCCTTCCTGCTCTCTGGGCTTGGCGGTTTCCTTGCAGAGACAGCCTTCATCTGAGGGCTGAATATGCAGGTAGTCCTCGACTTACAGCAGTTCGTTTAGTGACTGTCCGAAGTTACAGCAGCACTGGAAAAAGTGATTTAGGACCATTTTTCACACTTATGACCTTTGCAGCATCCCCATGGTCACATGATCCCCTTTTGCGACCTTCCGACAAGCAAAGTCAATGGGGAAGCCAGATTCACTTAGCAACCGGGTTACTCGCTTAACAACTGCAGCAACTCACTTAACCATGGTGGCAAGAAAGGTTGCAAAATGGGGCAAAACTCACTTAACAAATATCTCACTTTAACAATGGAAACGTTGGGCTGAATTGTGGTCGTAGGTCGAGGACTACCTGGCTTCAAAAACTTCCATTCTGCAGCCATGAACTCTGAACTAAACTAGGCGAGCGACTAAGGAGACTTGAAACTCTGGAAAGTCGCCTCCTTGTGTCCCCACCAGCATTTCAAGTGTCCTTCAGGGTTGCTTTGATTCGGTTGGGTTTCTGTTGAGGACGTTGTCCTTCCATTCTCCTGCATCCCCCTGGCCTTGCAGTCGGAGGCATTTCCTGCTTTGGGGCTTTCTCTTGTTCTCCTGAAAGCCTCACCTGTTTCATCTTCTGTGCTCTCCCCTGAAAGGTACTTGGAGACCATGGGAGCAAAACCCAGCCTGCTCAGCCCCCTCAGCAGCAGCAGCCCTTTGTGCCCCCGGCAGGCCCACCTCCGGCGTTAAGTGGGCCCCCTCCCCACTTTCTCCATCCTCCGCCGCCACCAGTGGCCTCTGTCCCACCTCCCCTCCATCCTCCAGGTAGGTGTCCCTGCTGGTACAGATACTAAAACCAGAACTAGGACACAAAACCATCTTGGTCGTGAAGTATGAGGCGTCGAGCCAGAAGTCTGCTCTGGCATACACTTGCAGGAGGATTGCCTTGGGCTTCAAACTGGAGAGGATCTTGCTTTTAAATTGTATGGGGAGAATGATTTACTCCTCGGGAGAATTTTTTTTCTGCAGAGAAGATTGGAAAGAGGCCCGTCCAGAAGAGGGAACAGTGCAAGAGGCAGCCTTGACAAAGGATAGCTTAGGTTGGGGTGAAAAGAGAACATCTTCTTCAACTCCAGCTCAGCTCCTGGGCCATCCGCCACCAAGTGGTTTGATGTGGTCTCCTCCCATTTCTTACTGCTTGCATTTCCCTGGCTGGCTCACATCCCTAATATTACCTGGTGGTCTCCCACCCAAGGACTAAAATCAGGTGGTCCTTAGTCTTTCTGAGATTATCTAAAGAAATAAGGAACATTTCTCTTAACCTCGTGAGGCATATCCACACCTAAGCATCAGAGTGGCTTTTTCAAAACGTTCCCATTTTGATTTACATTCAACCATACATACGTATCTTTGCGATCTTTATCCTGGCTAATTTTAAACTGGGTTGTCAATGTGATGTGTAGTTAGTTCCTCTGTACCTATGTACGTGTATGGTGTACATACCACCATTAGTTTCCTGGAAGTAAAGACTCTTTCCTAGAAAAGCAGGGGAGAACCAGGATTTGTCCCAGTCTGAGCTACTCGGGATCTAGAGGTTGCTAAATCAGCAATGCGGTGATTGGGTGGGTTGGAGCCAATGTCAGATAAGCCCTTCCTGCCTTTTTAAGGCATGATCTTCTGCCATGTGTTCCTCACTTGAGACCTTCTAGGAACAAGGGTCTCCAACCTTGGCCACTTTAAGCCTGGTGGACTTCAACTCCCAGAATCCTCCAGCCAGCTTTGCCTTCCCTCCTTCCGAGGTGGGTAAAATGAGGACCCAGATTGTTGGAGGCAATAGGCTGACTCTGTAAACCATTTAGAGAGGGCGGTAAAGGACTGTGAAGCGGTATATAAGTGCTATTGCCCTTCCTTCCTTTCTTCCTTCCCCCCCCCCACCCCACCCCCCCCCCACCTCCCCATCCATGGTGCACAGTGGTCAGAATGCATTATTGCAGACAAATTCTGCCCACTGTCAGCAGTTCGATTCTGACCGGCTCAAGGTTGACTCAGCCTTCCCTCCTTCCAAGGTGGGTAAAATGAGGACCCGGATTGTTGTGGGCAAGAGGCTGACCCTGTAAACCACTTAGAGGAGGCTGGAAAGCACTACAAAGCGGTATATAAGTCTAAGGGCTATTGCTATTTAGCATTATCAGTTGACGGAGCTGGAGGACAGTGCAGTGGGATGACTTGTGGCATTTAGACAGGCAGGTGTTAAGGGATTCCATCACTGGCATAAGATAGGAGGGGAAAGGCGGGGGGTGGGGTTCAGCCTCCCCCCCCACAAGAGAAGGAAGGGCTGGCCCTAGAGTGGCCCTCGCGT